ACACACACACACACACACACACACACTCAATGCTCTGTAACCAGCTGCAGTTCAAAGTTATTTCTCCCTGCACCTTAATGCAAATACCTCTCATCTTAAGTCCCCGTGGGGCACCCCAACAAATAACCCCACTAGGCCCTAAACAGAACTGATACTAAATGGTGAAGCCGATAGATCGTGCTCTGGACAACACCTTTCCTCTTTCAGCTCGCTGCTCTGAATTCCTTTCCCTATCCCCAACACCCTCTGCTCCTTCAGTGCCTTCCTCAAATTTCCCACCACCCTGGGACTAGGCTCCCTAGTGTAGGACCCTCACCCAGCCCCCCCCTGCAGACCACTGCCCTAGGCTCCTCTTTCCTGCCCATGCTTGGCTCAGAAGAGGTTTCCACTATATGATGACTGTCATCTGACCGACACTAACCCAACTTGGTACATGCCTAGACCATGGAGCAGAGGGATTAAAGGGCTCAGTGAGGTCTGAGGCCAAGGTCTGACTCTGCCATTGACCAGCTCTGTGACCTTGGGCAAGGTGCAATCTTTCTGCACCTCTTTCATCCTCTAAAGTGGAGATGGTTGGGCCAAGCCCATGGCGCACTCAGGAGAGTGCGGCGCTGGGAGCGCAGCAGCGCTCCCACCACAGGTTTGGATCCTATATAGGGATGACCGGTGCGCTCACAGCGCTCACTGGCTGAGCGTGGTGTGGCCGGTCTCAAAAAGGACAAAAATAAATTAAAAAAAATAAAGTGGAGATGGCAAAATCCCCTTCTTTACTGAGCACAGAGCTGAGCACAACAGGTGCCTGATGAATGTCAGCTGTTAATAGTGCCTTCATTTTAGTCTCTCAGCTGGGATTTCTTGGAGGCAATATGTTGCCATCAACTTAAGTACATTGAAGCCATTAGAAAAAGAGGGGTGCCCAGAGTCCTAAGAGGACTGTGCTATTTCTGTCACTTTGGGGTATTTTTAAAGAAAAAGCAGAAACTTGTGCCTCCCCAGTGCAAACACTGATGCACCTTAGAAGCTATAGGTGTTCTAAGAAGCCAAGAGTATGCCTAAGACCCTCCTCGATTGAAGAGGCTCATGGGGGCTGTCCCTGGACGCATCAACCAGTATGTGGTCACCATGCTGTGAGGCCCCCTCCTGCAAGAAATGCACTTACACGCCACTCATGCAGAAAAGGGCAGTTTATTCACTCTAGCTGGCCAGCGTCCGTCTCCCAAGGAGCAACCAAGGAAGAGCGCCTCAAAAAAATGCTATTTTGAATTAAATAGCATATTTTCCCTAAAAACCTATTATCTCTTTTTCTGTTACAGTACTCTTTTTTGTTTTTGTCTTTTTTCTGTGTCCGGCAACGGATCGCAACCCTCAGTGTTGCCCCCGTACCGGACCGGGGACCAGCAACAGGATCGCAAACCTCGGTGTTGCTCCCGCGCCTCGCCCAGCCAGCGAGCGGGAACCGGTCTGTATATGGGATCCGAACCCTCGGACGGGAGCGCTGCCGCGCTTCCCAAGCGGCGCACCATCCAGTGCGCCACCGGGCCGGCCCATTGTGGGGTTTTTAAAGGCAAAAACTACATCCCGTTGGCACATGGGTAAGCAAGCTAGGGAGCGAGGTCACAGAAGCTCTTGATGGTGTTCTCTAAAGCACTAAAGATTTTAGTTTTCATAAAATTCAATTTCTTTATTTTTCGTAATAACTTCGTATAGCATACATTATACGAAGTTATACGACCTGTTCCCATGTAATAGTTTACTGTGTATGGCTCCTGTTTCTATGCAATGGTTTTTGTTTCTATGAGAAGGTCAGTGGTTTCTCATGCAGAAGGGGGGCTAATCTGCAGGTCAGACAGGGGGTAAAATGGAGTTACTTAGGTTAAGCAAGCAATTCTACAGAAGCAGATAGTGTACGTTATGAGGGTGTAGAGAGCTCTATTTTAACCACATACACATGCCCATGTCATGCTCTGGCTCGGGCAATTACTTGCTGTGTGGCTTTGAGAAAATAACTTCACCTCTCTGAGCTTCAGTTTCCTCTTCCGTAGAATGAGGATAATCGTGGTAGTCGTCGTCTCCTGATGTGGTGGCTGTAACAATTAGATGAGGTCATCCAGGTAGTGTACTTGCCATGGTGTAGGCCCCATACTAACTGGATTGGTATCAGCCACTGGGAAGAGGCAGGGGCTGCCAGAGCTGCATCAATTTGTGAAGCTGATAGATCCTGCTCTGGGCAGCCCTTTCCTCCTTCAGCTCCCTGCTCGGAATTCCTTTCCCTTTCCCCAACAACCTCTGCTCCTTTAGTGCCTTCCTCAAATTTTCCATCACCCTGGAACTAGGCTCCCTGGTATGGGACCCTCACCCACCCTGCTCAGACCACTGCCCTGGGCTCCTCTTCTCTGCCCATGCTTGGCTCAGAGGAGGTTTCCAACATATGATGACTGACATCTGACCGAAAGAATGGATGGTATTGAGGGTAAACTGAGGCTGAGGTGAGGGTGGGAATGATTTGTTGGATCAGCTGACCCTTGCAAGGTCATTGCAGGGTAGGCTGAATTTCCTAGCAAGTGTCTCAGGAGCAATTGGCCTCCCCAATCCCCCAGACTTACCTCCCTCTGCAGGCTCTCACCAAACAAGCCCACCCCAGCCTGCCTCCTTGCTCCTGTCTGTGTGTGGCCAGGCTCTCAGGGCCCACCCTCCTCCCCTCTAACCAAGGGACCCTGAGAATCACCTCTCTCTCTTGTGTTCCATCATTTACTCAACACTCAGGTCCCAGCAGCCCACAGTTGGTGATGAACTGATTTGTCCTCGTAGGTCTCAGTGACCCAGGAGTCACTCCTGCATCACTCAGCCCAGTGCCAGCATGTCCAAAGCAGAAAAGCCCATAGAGAGGCTCAGAGGTAGAGTTCAGGAGTGCATGAGAGGGTGCTCTCTGCTCAGTGAACTCCAAAGCCAGGTGACAAAGTCTGGACTCCATCCCTTTCCCTGACCCTTGTCCCCTATTACCCCAGCCCCTCAAGGACAGACAGCTTGTTTCCTGCCTCCTAGTTTGCCACCTTCAGTCCCCTGCATGCTAGGACTTGAGAACACCTCCCCTCCCAGGGGCTGCACAGGGTGAACACACTGTCAATGCCAACAG